GTCGTTTCACGTCTCTAAAGAACCAGCCAAATAAAAGCTACAAAATAATACATATTCACACAAAAATGTGTGCTAAATTCATAGTATATTTACGATTTCGACTATACCATTGGCATGTTTTTATAAATCACTATCAAATATTGATGATACCAGGTGTTCGCGAAAAGGTGACAGTATCCTGCCCCACAGGTAACACACGTCACAAACACATGCAAAGGCAAGTCATTCATATTAATGTTGACCTGCGGTTTGTTTATATGTAGCGGGGTGTGTTTCTTTCTAGTGTCTGAGTGTGAGCCTCTACACAGTATTATATATAAAACAAGGTATTTCAGCTTGATGAGAGAGGGAAAGGTCCAAAGTCACACCTGCAGGTCGCAGAAACCTCCCACTGCTCGTAACACGTGGTATGTATTTTGATCACCGCATCAGACATCATTTAAACTGTGCTGTAGATATGTGAATTAAACCATCGTTGCATGTATGTGGCACATGCAGCTATCTACGAATAGATAACAAAATGGAATATCTGGACATCTTGTTCTGTATGACAGGAACACAGAAACATGTAAATCTTGTCGACAACTTTTGTGTCAGTAATGTATTTTGTTGGTATCAATGAAATCGTGGATGCAGTTACTCACACACGGAATCATACCACGTGGTGTCTGAGGAAGCCACACTCTCTACTTCTATCAACAGTCTCGATGGTTGAGCGCGAGTTGCATTATAACTCATGTTGAAAACCGGCACCTGTAATCACTGTTGTTTTTTAAACATGAATTTAACGAATCCCATTAAGTTGCCTATCCAAAATAGCACACATCAAGGGCATGGAGCTGAAAAACAAATTCGATTTAAAATGCTGCACATGTTCTTTTTTTCAGAGTAGCTCCAGCAGATGCTTGGCTTCTTGATATTGTCATTTACCTCACACCATCCCGTCGCTAACGATAAGAACAGGAAGATGAAGATGAAGATAAAATTGAACAAATTAGTTTTGTGTGTGAGCTGGTACATATTTCAGTCAACATATACATCTGGGTATTAATAAAAGTGCCTAATCTCTGTAGGTTATTGTGTCAGGGTATTTTGCATCAGTGATTACCGACCGTGATCGGCAGTAGAAAAAATAGAGCGGTCACTCGGGATGCTCTTTCGTGTATTACAAGCTGGGACACGGTTCTAATGAACATGGTCTTACCAAATGTTTGTTTGTTTGTTTGTTTGTTTGTTTGTTTGTTTGTTTGTTTATTGTTTAAAGCCTCACTCCAAAATTCCCGCCATGTGACGGCGGTCTGTAAATAATCGAGTCTGGACCAGACAATCCAGTGATTGACATCATGAGCATCGATCGATGCAATTGGGATACGATGACATGTATAAACCAAGTCAGCGAGCCTGACCACCCGATCCCGATGGATCGATGCACATGATGTCAATCACTGTATTGTCTGGACTCGATTATTTAGTGAGTGGGTGAGTGAGTGAGTTGTGTTTAACGCCGCTTTTACCATTATTCCAGTTATATCGCGGCGTGTCAGCTTAATGTGGGAAGAGAGCCCGAAGTGATGGACGTCTCAGACGTTTACCACTTCGGTGAAACCCACGAGCACGGGTGTGGTGCTGACAAGCCTACATAATAAAGAAACATAATCGGGGCGAACCGGGACTCGAACTCACAATCATGGGTTTCTGGATCAAGGGACGCAACTCTGCACAGCGCCTTAGACGACTGGGCCACCCGTGCTCCAAGGATTCCCTAAGTGGGGAGACCATTGGTGCATTGAGTGGTCTGAATTGTAGTTAAGAATCTTCACTCTTCTTTTAGTAAGATACCCGTGAAGATCCGGGGTAGAATAGATCTTCAGCAACCCATGCTTGCCGTAAAAGGTGACAATGCTGGTCGTAAGAAGCGGCGTTGTTTGTCGTAAGAGGCGACTAAAGGGATCGGGTGGTCAGGCTCGCTGACTTGGTTCATGCATGTCATCGTATCCGAAATGCATGGATCGATGCTCATGATGTCAATCGCTGGATTGTCTGGTCCAGACTCGATTATTTACAGACACATGGCGGGAATTTTGGAGTGAGGCTTTAAACAATAAACAAACAAACAAACAAAATTTGGTAAGACCATGTTCATTAGAACCGTGTCCCAGCTTGAAATACACGAGTGACTGCTCTTCTGTTTCTACAGCCCATCACGGTCGGTAATCACTGATGCAAATTACCCTGACACAATCACTTAAAGATATTAGGCACTTTTATAAACACTGGGATTCGAACCCACAATCATAGGTTTCTGGCCTGCCCAAGGGACGCAACTCTGCACAGCAAATCTCGGCGGCTTAGACTCGATTATTTAACAGACGGTCGTTATATAGCTGGAATATTGGTGAGTGCTGCATTAAACAACAAACAAACAAATTGAAGCAAACGCATAACCTACCCCGACGTAGATGCACACATATACCTATTTAGTTCTAATCTCCCAGCGAGGATCACGACTGTGAGGGTGAACCTGGGTCACTGAGCTGTGCTCCAATGATCAGGGGTGTCATAACATAAGAATAAAGTGATAAAGAAAACATGGTAATAGGTTCACAGGTTTATTAGATAACTACTCATTGTACAAATGGTTGACAATTACAAATAAATCCACTCTGCGCTCACACAGATCACAAATTAAATTAAATATACAACCAAGTTTTAGCCAAACAACTGTATTACAGCCATAAAAAAGGAAGGTAACTAAAGCAACATTTTGACAAGAGGTGGACCCAGTGCGTCGACTGCCATCTAAGTCGGCTTCGACCAATTAACACCCGACTCAAGTAACCCTACACTCAAATGAGTGAATGACCTCGGCTCAGTAAACAAAGGGGAAATACACACCGACACCTTATCTCTAAGACTGCTGTGAATGTTCAGGATGAGATTGCTGTGAGTATTTTGTATGAGATTGCTGTGAGCGTCCTATATGCTTACCTGTTTGTATGCTTTGAGCGGGATTTTAATGCGGATGTGGGTGTGGGTGTATGGGTGTGGGTGCGGGTGTGGGTGTGGGTGTGGGTGTGGGTGTGGGTGTATGGGTGTAAGTGCGGGTGTGGGTGTGGGTCCGGGTGCGGGTGTGGGTGTATGGGTGTGGGTGCGGGTGTGGGTGTGGGTGTGGGTGTGGGTGTGGGTGTGGGTGTGGGTGTGGTAATATACAAAGTTACAACTAATTTTTCTTTTTTTTCTTTTTTATATTTTAAATGTACCATTATGTAATTAGTGTCTCGTAGGCCAACTGGCCGGGTGCTGTTTTTTTAATGAAATGTTTATATGTCTATATATTTTGTACTGCAGCATGTGACACACTAATAAAACATTTCTTCTTCTTCTTCTTCTTCTTCTTCTTCTTCTTCTTCTTCTAAAATTAGTCACTTAGACAACAAATCTAGACGATTATGTCTGCATAAACACTAGTCTTAATCGACTCAAGTTCCTGTCACTTTGACCGAACAAGGAAATACTAAAAAGTTCCAAAATAGTTAGTTAATCACGGAAAGGTTGGTTATCCACGTGTTGCTAGCAAAACAGTGTATTACAAACCCTAGTAACTAAGTTTAGTTCAGTATAACTGGACGAAGTCAGAATCTAGATCGCAAAAGCCCCGAACTCACTAATTTTCGAACGTCACTACTCCAGTAGCGAGAGAATCGTGAACGATTTAACGAAGTCTGGAGGGTGAAGATATAAGATCTAGAAAGTCTATATATACAGCGTACGCGGACGTCGTCTGTGAAATACCAGGACCTGACTGAGGCGACAAGCCAACGTGTTTTTCTAAACAAAGAGAAAACGCGAATAGCAAACTAACTACTATATCTACAGTGGAGATGTAAGTATCAAAATACAACGCTAAACATAAGATGTAAAAAAAGATTCACAACAAGCTATGGACAATCATTGACGAGGCAAAAATGACCATTTTCAATATAGGAATATGTAGCTAACATATGCGAGACAACATACATCTAGTCATTACATTGTTTGAGAGTGTCATGAGATTACAAGAGAGAGAAATAGTTGGGCCCTTAATTCTAACACCAAAATGATCTGACTGTACGATAGCGACCGCCGGAGATTACCGAGCGGTACCGGAAATAAAGCCGGGGAACAAAGCGGGACCGGACTATGACTTGGGTAAAATAAATCTACGGTGACAACCTGCACACATTAACAGCATAGTTGGAGTGTGTGTGTGTGTGTGTGTGTGTGTGTGTGTGCGTGCGTGCGTGCGTGCGTGCGTGCGTGCGCATGTTACGCCACAACCAATCTGTATATATTTAGACAATTACCATCTACAGATTACTGATTGTATCAAATTCGGAGTCAAAGCAAAAATGAACATTTATGTTTCCCAATAACAAAAGATACATGAATACGTAGTGTAGACAAAAACATTTCATGGTGATAAAAAAAAACTATTTCCTTATTTGTGTTTGTGCTGTGCGTGCTGTGCCGGTCCACGTGACGATGTGACGTCATCCTCAATTATTAACCTCAACCCTCAACGCCTTGATTTACCTTACGTTGTCTAATTGCTATGCAAACAATGAAAACAATAAAACAATAAATCTTATTCAGTGTTAATCCAAAATGACAATTTTAGACAAAATTTGTCACAGTTTTTTTAGGTTTTTGTTTTTAACTTTTTTTTATTGTTCCCAGAGTTGGAGATTAATACAGTATTCCGTCAAAAACATATTTCGGATAGCGTAGAATGGCCAAATACACTCATTAAACAAATTTAAGGTTCGGAAACAAACGTTGTCCTATTCAAACCAAAAATGGTTGCAACACACAATGTGACTCTAACATGGTATGTATCAACAGAGAGCTATGAATCAAATGCTGAGAATAAAAGTGATCATATTTTGTTAAAGAAATGTGTCACAGTTACTTGATCCCATGTGCTAAATATTGTGCAAACGAGCGTCAATTGTTCCGTTAGTTCAGTTACGACGTGAGATGTCTGCCGAAACGGTGCCGAGGTTGCTAGTTCCTGTTACGGTACTCTTTGCAGACTTACCGGAAGTTGCACATGGGATGAACACTTGGATGAAGGTTTTCCGGAAGGTTGCACTGAGGGCAATGTAGAAGAAGAAGTTGGTGAAGTTACTGACGAGCTGACAAATACCTCCGACCATGGTTACGAGTGAGAAAAGATAGTGTTCCCTAGTAAATAGGCCGTAGTCATCGTTGAAGCTGCTGGCGAAGGAGTTGGCGTTGGAAGGCAGAGCGAGGATAACGACGACAACGGTTGACGCCATGATGGTTATTGTCGTCTGCATCTCTTTCTTCTGGGCATCTCCAGTGTTCTGAGTGGTCTTCATAGATTGTCGCGCTTTGCTGTGACGTCGGAGTGATATTACAATCAGGAAGTTGAAGACAAGGCATCCGAGAAGCATGAAATATACAAATATGAATTGGCTAGCCAAGCTGCAGTTCATGAAATGAACTTCATACTTTACATACAATGGCGAAGAGGCGTACCTGTAGACTGTTATGTTGTCTGAAGTGGAATAAGGCTTGACATAAAATTTCATTGGGCTGAAAATATGTCCGACGAAACTTGCCACCATTATTAAAACACAGACGACACTTGGGTTTTTCACAAGACGCATACTTTTGGCTTGTAGAGGAAACGTCACAGCGATGAACCTCTCAGCTGACAACAAAAAGTTGTAACAAAATCCAAGTCTCCCCAAAGCCACAGCCACGTAGAGGTTTACGTAGAGTCCGTAGAGTTTGTAGAAGCGTACACTTTCGACTTCTTTGCCGTATATATACCTCATGGTTTTGGTGACGAGGGTGCAGCTAAGGTAGAGGACCTGGGAAATACACATGGCCAGGAGGATGGTACTTGTCGGGCTTCTCATCCGTTTCTGACAGAACACGATGACGTTGCAGATGTTGGTAGCAAGGGCGATCAAATAGAGGGGAAGTGTGATGTTCTCTGTCAAAAGGAAGAAGGACTTGTAGGTAGCCTCCGCCACGCTGCCAGAATGGATCAAAGCGAACGGGGAGAATGGAGATTTAGGTTTCATTACTTCCTCGTTTGCAGTATTGTTACCATTGTCGTCCATGTCTGTCGTGTTATGTATTGTGGCAGTTGTCATTTCAGCTCTGTAACGCGCTTTTGCTGTTGATGGTGAAAACACGATCGACGATGATCCGTCTACAGCCATGGAGTGAGACTCATCTGTGGTGTCAAGCAATGATGATGTTGATGTCATGGTCGACAGCTTTGTCATTAACGATGATGCTTCTTCAACCGTGGAGTGAGACACATCTGTGATCTTATGCAATGTCGATGTTGATGTCGACTCTTGTGCCGTTAACGTTAATGTGTTTACGACCAACATAGCACAAAGCCATTTCAGCTCCATTTTGAAAAATAGATAAAACTAGTGTGCTTTAGCCCTGTCTTCAATAAAGTACACGCCGTACTTCACTCCTCTTTCGTCATTGAATGCCAATACCACAATCCAATGGTGTTATCAAATCCCTCATTCGATGAATCAGTCCACAGAGAAAGTATACTTTGTACAAATCTCCCTGCCTAAAGGTGTTCAGACGTGAAGAAAAGGCGAAAACTAACTAACGCCACTTCGGAAGCTTCAGTATTTATAGGAATGGTTCGCCCAATCAATGTTCGCAATTATGGCAAAAATCAATTGCCTTTAATGTCACTGTACCCACTCGTGATGATTGATGTACAATTGGCTTTGTTACTGGTGCCACGTCAGGGCCCTAATGAATAAAAGTATATCGATATAGATGGTGTTCGTGTATACTTACGGAAGAAATACTGTGCTTCATACAAAGTGGTGTAAATGTTATGTTACTGAAAATGACAGAATATTCAGTCATTCGTATGATCAATGTTTTATCATAACAAATTCATGATTTCTTTCTTTTTTCTTTCCTCTTTACTGACAAAACCCACACCTGGTAACAGGAGACAGAGCGACACGCCCTTAATGACGGGAGGTGTAACAACTCAATTAACAATGTCAATATCGGGTTGGACGGCCATTTGCGTTCATACGCGCAAGGCGGCGGCGTATTGAAGACACTAGTTGATTGAAAACAGCCACGGGGACGTTGTTCCAAATTTAAATCAAAGATTGGCCAAACTGAGCCAGCGTTACTGAGTGGCACTGGTCCTGTTGTAGGCTTTGTTCCATCTCATCCCAGAGATTTTATGGGGGAGAGGTCTGGAGAAACAGCCGGCCATTGCAGTAAAGCAATGTTATTCAGCCTCAAACACTCTGTTACAACACGTGCAACATGTGGGCGGATAATATCTTCGTGCAACGTGACGTTACGTCCTTGCATTTGCACAAAGGGGAGAACTTGATATCAAACTATGTCATCCCGGTAGCGTACGGCATTCAAACTCAAAACAGCGAGTTATGCTCGGCTATGAATTGTGATGCCACCCCATACCATTACACTTCAACCCCCAAACTGACGACGTCGTGGAAGGCAAGCGTCTCTAAAACGATTTTCGGGACACCTGTAGACCTTTGTACGGCTATCTGAGCTGTCCAGTTGAAACCTGTCTTCCTCTGCGAACAGTATACTGATCCAGTCCTGTCTTCTGAACGATTCTGTCACTAATTGGTCTAAACACAGAGCTGTTAATGTGGCAGTTTGGTATCGATTCCATAGATAACTGTAACTGTATATGATTGTCTTGTTGACATGACGTCAATTCATGAGTGTTGCCCTGCTGTAGATAATGTCTCAAAAGAGATACTATTGTGTTTCGATGAACATAAGAATGTCTGGCAACTTCGTTTTGCGACATTTCTTTTTGCCACAATTGATTTGCAGTGGAGACGTTGTCTTTCAGCAAGTCTTGGCACTGCGTAACCGTTATTTACTGTTATGAGCAACTGATAGGTAAACAATGATTCTGTGTCGTTCACATTAAAAACATCGCACGTGGGAGTATCATGCTCTCAACACGTATCAACACGCAAACATCCAAATTGTGTGCTGTGCATCAACATGCAAGTGAATTGTGAATCCCGACCTTAAAGTCGAAGATATGTCTTCATGAATATGTATTAAAAGATGCATTATTGAACGACAGATTAGGTTGGCCACATCCAGAATTGACAGTTCTCGAACCATGGACATTATCAATTCCACAAAGTTTTGTTTTCTGCATTTTTATGTTTGGCAAATCTTAAACAGCACAAAATGTCAATAAATGCAGTTTTCAAACATTTAATATTAATTGCCCTTGACTGCATGTACGATTCCTATACATGTCATTTTCTGAACGTTTACACAAATATATTAATATAGTCCTAGGCTGTAAACAATTTGTATAAAAGCAAAAAAATTAAAACTCAACGCATACGTCTTTTTTTATCCGCCGAAACAGATTATATCTGTCGCAAAGGGCAAGACCCTCACAACAATGGTCTGGGGAAGTGACAGAAGCATTATATAGTCTTCTTAAATATGTGAAAACAAGTATAGACAGCTCCAAAGGGTAAATCGAAAACAAGTCTAGAGAAGTAAATAGACAATGAATTAAAGTTTCAAATATGATTTCAGGAACAAGTTTGAATGAGGTCAACTGGGTCCTGACTTAGTCGTATAGCTGAGAGAGTCTTGGTTAGAAGTGTTGTCTTGTGATTGGTGTTGAATCGACAATTCCTTTAATCAGATATTTTATTTTTTATTCATCAAATGTATAACTGTATGGATAAAGGCTACCTTTAAATGTCAATTTGCTTCCACAAAACATGATGTTTAGGCTATACCATTTTTATTCTTGTATTGTGGATTCTTGGATTGATAGAGGAGGGAAAATTACAAACGTCAGCCCAGATCAATATTTATTTATTGTATTACCGAGAAGAAGATATTGCCGGGATCAAACTAGTAGATTGGCTTCTCTTATGTAATCATTTCTAGCAGTGGTCATTGTTCTAACAAGACAGCGGGTGCATTATTTCACCAAATGACAGTGAACTTGACATCAGATTGGTGTAATCCTGTATTCCTTAACAACACGTGACTAAAACTCGTGTCTGATCAGCACAATGGAGGCACATGAGCGTGAGCAATAACAGCTCATATCGTCATATCTGTCATATCATTCTCACTTTTGGAAGCGATCGTTCGGCTACTGCGTTAATCTGCGTAGCCCAGCTACATCTATGGGGTGCAGCTTCCTAGACTACTTACTAGGCACTCCCCCCACCCCTCAAATATAACGTCGTCCAATATTTAAGTTGCGGGCGCATATTCGAATATCCAGGTATGACGTCATGATAAAACAATATTTTATCGTGAAATAAACCACGCTTCGTACTTCATTGTACTTTGAGATTTATCGTGTAGCTTCCTACATATCATTCGTTTGGGTTTTTTTATTTGTTGCTTGCGCCACATTCAGCAATATTATCGAGTCTGGTCCAGACAATCCAGTGGTTGACATCACGAGCATCGATCCACGCATATTGGATACGATAACATGCATCAACCAAGTCGGGACCACCCGATCCCGTTAATCGCCTCTTACGACAAGCATAGTCGCCTTTTACGGCAAGCATTGGTTGCTGAAGACCTATTCTATCCCGGATCTTCATTGGTTCTTAGATATCAATATAATATAAATGGTATTCATGTGTGTTTGAAGTAAATATAAACGTTTTGCACACACCTGAAAAAAGTTGTAGTTATTCTGTTAGTTAGCAGTTATCATAACGGGAAATGCTAAAATATTCAATGATGTTTTGATTGTTAAGGTAAGGAAGCAAAAACTTGTTGAGGAATATTCAGTGTTTGGTCCATGACATGAATCGGCCGGATTGCATAATAAACAATACCATGCTTCTTTGGAAGCCACCACAGCTAACAATCGGATATTTTGCAAAACAAGGTAGTCAAAACGAAATCGTGCAGCTTAAAGTGTATAAACACGTCCCATTTTAATTCTGGAAACCCAAAAGTCCAGAAACTCTACGGTCTTTGCCCAGTCTCGGTCAAAGGTATTTACTAAATCAAACATGCTGTTTTCATGGGAACATACTACGGAAGAAAAAATGAAAAATTGTTCAAAACTCAATATTTAGACTATGTTGCCCATGGGCGAAAATATTTTCCTTTGCTCAAAACTCATGCTTTTGTTTCCCAAATTCATACAGGTGTCCTTATACGTTTCATGACACATAATTTAACTCATTTTAACTTTATTCAAATATTGTACGATGTTATTGAAATATTCGCACATGGGAGAGAAAAAGGTTTGGCCCATGGTCGAGAATAATTTCCTTTGCTCCAAACTGTTTGTTTAGTGTCGAAAATACATAAAGGTGTTCTAAGGAGTTTCATGACATATAATTTGACTTATTTTAACTTAATTCAACTATTTTACGGCGTTATTGAAATATTTCGCCCTGGACGAGAAAGTTTGACCCATGGGCGAGAATAGTTTCAGTTTCGAAAATACATAAAGGTGTGTCTACAAGTGTGACACATGATTCAACTCATTTTACTTGATTCAATAATTTGTGGCGTTATTTAAATATTTCGCCCATGCTTTCGTCAGTCCCTTTAAAGCACGAACTATATGTGTGCAAAGTATATTGTATCATGTGAAATAAACTTTATATTATATCATTACATTACTGTTAAAAGAGGGCCTTTGGTTGGATGTTTACTTTAAAGAAGTTTTACAAATTTCACCTTTTTTCATATTGTAACGATCTTTAATGAACCCGGCCCTAATTCTCAAAACGTTTTGATAGTTTATCATACGAATTCATGCGCGTGTACTCCAATTCATTATCGTTATTTTCGACAACATTAAAGTTTAATTAGTTTCGTTATCATTTCACATTTTATGTCTCGTTGATACATCACACTGGGCAATTAAGTGACACTAGGTATGCAATATTCAGGTACACGTGAGCGTATTATAATGGATAGAAACCGGTTCGTCTTTCATTGCATAAAGTCTGGCTGAATATCTCACATTCTAACGAAATCTCGGAATAATTATTTAATTATATGCGGTGTGTAACTGACCAATGGGAATTATGTTTAAAGGCGATTGAGGAAAACTTGTGTGAATATTGTGACACGAGAGCAACCTTTAAATGCGTTGCCCATTTTGGTATAAAAATGGGTTCAGAAAAAAACATCCTTCATAAGATAATTCTCATATTCATATTAGTACGTTGTATTTAATTACAGTGTCAGTCTT